TGTCGTAAACAGTGACGTTCGTGCATCTCCTCAAATTCTTTGCAACCTTAATCCACTGAAATTTGACAATACTTTCAACTTTAATGTCTTCCTTTCACTGCTTCATCCAAATGGACGACCGGAAGACAGTAACCAAAACCGGCGCACGAAAGTGCATGGTTAATGGTTGTACAAACTGAAATGAATCGAACCACTGTGCCAACCAGCTTATGCAACGGCTGAACCGAATTGTCAATTCATGTTTGTTCTGGTGTCGTCTTCAGTGGTAGTCAGTCAGTCAGTCTTTACTGAGCATACCAAACTTAGGATTTCGGTGCAAGACTTCCAATGGGTTTTCGATAGATTGTAGGAGCCGCCTGACATCCTCGCAAGAATTTACAAATCACCTCGTGACAAAGAGTAAACGATTAAAAACCACATAGAATTCAATTAATCGAAATGTACGGTGGTAACTCTTCATCACAAAATTCGGTTTCCGTATCTTCTGGATCATCAAAAGCTCTCATAAGCTTCGAATGAAAAGGATCTTGGTATCAACCTTCAAAACAACCTCGGCTGTTTTATAAACTGCCTCAGGATATCGTCCGCAAGGGAAGGGCATTCCTTCAAATCCGTGTACCAAGACTGTCGATCAGAAATTCGGTCTCAGAGTGGGTAGTATTGGGAATTTCCTGCCACTTCACGTTGTTTTTGCACCCACATTTGATTCTTTCAAACAGAGACTGGATGAATCATTATCATAATTCAAATTTCGACATTTATAGTAGTATATGCAGTAATGAGACTTTGTGATCGGTTAAGCGGTCCGGCTGTGCAGAAAACCCTACGGGACAAATAAAAGGAACCACTTGTCGTAATTTCCCATGACAAAAATTTTGACTGACCCTTGGTGGTTTGTGTTCTACTCTATTATCGAAAAAAACCTTGATTGCGAGTAAATCCTTCCACACACACACAGACCTAGTGTCAACTCCTGACACTCTGTGGTGTTTGTTAAGATTGTCTAAACCCGATGTCTGTTTGATTGATGTCATCTAGCACCCTCCATCAGCCACGAAATCAGCCAATATGACCCTTTTGAAAACCATGTTACAAATTCTCGCAAAAAGATCTACACATGTTCTGCTAATCGGTGATTTCAACTGTCCCAACCTCGGCAAACCACTGACCTCCCATCACTTATTCGAACGACAATTCATAAAGTTAATTGCCTCACAACCACTGTACAACCACGTGAAAGAGCATATCAGATTTGGAAACTTACAATCACCATCCACATTAGACTTGATGTTGACAAAGGAAGAGTTAACGATAGAATCCGTCACCGTAACGACCCCTCTGGGACGAAGTGACCATGCTGTACTGTTGTTCAAATACATTTGTTACCCTTCCGTCAAAATAATTAACCCAGACAACATTCGCACATTCATAAACTATGCAAAGTTACAGAGATTGGCTCCTTCCATTCAAAGGATATCTCATAGGGAAGAGCACAACCCTTTGGTCGTATGGCAGGAATTCACTAACAGTCTGCAACAACTACTGGCGTCAGTGACGCGAGTAAAAGTTGTTACCAAACCCAGCATCCGGAAATCACCTATTCGAAGCCGTACAAATAAATGGATATTTCTGAAGGACCTCTTTTGGAGAAAGTACAAATGAATTCCAAATGCATGCACCTCGAACAATTACCGACTGTTGCGAAACCACTGCACCAAGTTGGTGTGCGAAAATAAACTAAACCATCAAGAATCTAGCACAAAGACGTATTTTAAACCCCAAGCTTTTGTACAAACATGTTAACTAAGCTCGAAAAGTTAAACATGGAATACCAGTGCTCAATTCTTCTGGAAGAGTGACAGCCAATACAATGGAAGCCGCTGAAATGCTGAAGAACCAGTATGCCCAAGATTTTGCTGCGTCAACTAACGAACGACTGAACCTCCCTAGCTGGATGCATCAAATTCTACATCCTTCACTAACCAACGTATCGTTCACTACCGAAAAGATGAAAGCAAAGCTATTGGCCCTGAGGAAGAATGCATCGCCAGGGGCAGACAAACCAAACCCTTATCTGCTTAGCGAATTAAATAGACCAGCCACTAGCCTTCCTATTCAAGAGGATGTTCGATCACATTGCAATCCCACCGAGGTGGAAGCAGGGAACAATTTCACCCATTTACAAAGGCGGTTGCCGTAGCGAGCCCGCTAACAACCGCCGGGTAATCCTTCTTCCAGTGCTGTCCAAAGTCACATAGTTCATAGTAGCAGATTCCTTGATGGAACACCTACGGATTCCGACAGAATCGATCCTGCGCTACCAATCTGCTGATCGCACGATAAGAATAGACANCGGCGACGCGGTAGACGTTATTTATGTAAACTTCTCAAAAGCGTTCGATCGGGTGAACCACGACATTATACTGCGGAAACTCTATAATCACGGTATTCGGGGTCTCATCCTTGGTTGAATCGAAGCATTTCTCCGACATCGGACCGTATCGGTTCGCGTTTCTGATTTACGTTCCAGTCTTATGGACGTTACCCGTGGGGTTCCACAAGGATCTGTGCTTCGCCCGCGACTTTTCCTAACATTCATAAACGACCTACCGAATGCACTGGGGCCAAAATCATTACTTTTTGCAGATGACGCCAAAATTTGGAATACAGTAACGCAACCAGGAGGGTAGCTGACACTCTAGGAAACGTTAAAAGCAGCTCATCTATGGTCCATTATGAACGATATTGAATTCAATGTGCCAAATTTAGGGTTCTATCTCTACGACACAAGGGGCGATTTTCGTATTTCCTCGGAAATGAACAACTGCCACTCGCCACAAGTGAGAAGGACCTGAGCATCATCAGTCAAGAAAACTTAAGCTGCTTACTCAAGGTGTCCAACGCAGTTGTAAAGAATGTCGGTTTGCTTAAGTGGGTCTTTGGCCGGTTTGAGTCAGCGTTTTTTCACCGTCTACCATCAGCATACATTCGCCACTCACAGAATATGCTATCCAGGCATGGAATTCATAGCTAAAACGTGATGGCAAACTGCTGGAGTGTCCACAAAGGATGGCCACCAAAATGGTTAAGGGGCTGAATCGGTGTTCATACGCAGAGAGATTGAAGCCACTGGGGTTATATTCCAATCACTACCGGCGCATCAGAGGAGATATGATTATGGTATACCAAATAATGCAAAACCCAAGCCATCCGTGTCGCCCGTTTCTGAAGTTATCAAGCAACGTTCATCTTAGAGAACATCCATTCAAATTAGTGGTCTCGAAATGCCGCTTGGAATGCCGGCGTCAGTCATTTGCAGTCAGAGTGTGTTCGATCTAGAACTCTCTCTCCCATCCTACGTCGTCTGTGCTCCAAGCCTTGAATCTTTCAAACTGAGACTCGATGAAACATCAACACACCTTACATTCCAACAAAAGTGAAGCTGCATGGAGCAGTGGAAGAAGCACGTATCACGTGACATTTCACACAAGGAGTTGTATGTATCACTGTTTTTAACCACCACACGAACCTATGGGACGAGCTTGTGAGTTATTCCCATAATAAATCTTTGACCTTCGAAGAGGCATCCTGTCTTGTCATTTTTTACAAGTCACCCTGCCGTGAAATTGATAAACGCCCTCCGATCGTCTAATAATATGGTATGGTGAACTGGTAGAAAACAAAAAATCTGATGAACCGCACTGAAGCGCATCAAATTATAGATCGAAATAATGCAAGATGAAAGGGAATGTAATGCCCATGATTAGAAGAAAAACAGACCGCGCTGTTCGTGTCGAACAGTGCCAAAAACAAACGGAGTGAACTTACCGAATACTTGAAGCAAATGGGAGCTGAGAAGCATTTCCGAGCGATAGAGTGGGATATCGGCAAACCGGTATTGTGCTGCCGGTGTCGGTGGGGTGACGGGAATAGTGCGATTGAAGACCTGGGATGAATACAAGTAAAGAAAACATCAGTTTCAACTGAACAGACCGGACACAAAACGCAAGTGAATCACTGAGTATGGTATCAACTGGAAGGCCGCGGGCAAAATCTGTCTAAATGCATGCAACGTCAACAAGTGTAAGAGCGTTTCACGAATGTTGCACAAACAATGTTTCGTAATTCAGTTATCTAAACTTATACGATACCACTCAATCACTCTAATCTTCCACGACTGATTTCGATTTGAAGTAGCGCCCCTCTTGAATATTGAGACGAAAACTATTGTATAAGAAATAAATTTAAAAATAAACGTGCGTATGGGACAAAATAAATTGTGGGGTAAATAGTGGGACTGAAATTGTTTTAAATAATTTCCGACTAGAATACCTTGAAAAATTTCGGCCATCGTGTTGCATACTCCCCAGTTGCAGCTGGTAATCCAACACGAACTCCCACAATCACATATTCCACTGGACGACGATTGTACACTTCGACCACAAATGCGATATCCGTATTGTGACTGACTGACGGAGTTTTGCCCGGTTCCAACCCGGACGGTGAAGAGCCCGGAGTATTGAGCAGAGCACCTTCACGGTTCATTCGTGCACTGACCGGGGACCCGGCTCCAGTGACTGGACTACCCACAGTAAGAAGTCGTCGTCGAAGTTGATCCCGGTTGTACAACTGTAGTAAATCAGCACCACCGAATTCGACCTATGGAGAACAGCAACGACAAGCAAAGATGAAACCAAATGAACAAAAGGTATCACATAACAGAATAGAGTGAAATTGGGTATTTTCTCATCACGACTTGGCATGATATTTGAATGGACTATCTCTTGTTGTAGGATAATTCGGCTATGGGGATAAAATCTACAATTTTGTGGGAATAGTGTATGAAGCCGCGGTCAGCAAGTAGATTCACAACAAGATAAATATTTTATTTCATTCGGACATGTTCAATGTAATACCGAACGTAACGTGACGTACAACATTTGAAAACTACGATTTACCTCTCCTGTCGGTGTTGCGTATTCGAACAAATTAAGTGGAGGCGGACCTGCTTGGGGTGAGTCGACCAGGTGTTTGCAGAGTTGTCGCCACTGAGATGACGGGCCTGATGACTCTGTGGTACGAGAGAGTAGCAGTTTCGGTCGCTCGACAAATGAACTAGTCATGAGATCCCACAAACTGCCTTGTGGTAAACAGAACGACCAAGCTTGCGGGTCTAATGCACTGCAGAAACTGGTGAAGGCTGACGAAGTGTCGTGACCGTTCACCCCAGTGGTCGTAAAGCGAGACTGAAGCCAAAATTGTCCAGGAGCGGGTTGAGGCAATCCATTATCAGACTTGACTGGATACGATGACGCACGTCTACAAAAATACAAGTACAGAGAATCTGGTTCGGACAAAGCACGTTCAGATAAACTGAAGTAAAAGTAACTACTTAGACCGACATGAAAAGTTGGTTATTGCCGACACATCGCGGCATGCTACAGATGGGATGCAGGCACAATGGCTCACCTGGGATAGGTCGAGAGAATGAGTAACTGACTGTCTGATGTGAGAAGATAGGTCAATGTGCGACCCGGCAAAGACAGATGACCGTCCCAGTGCACGGAAACAGATGCCACTACGGCAGGTGGAGACGGAGCTGCAAAACAAGGAGAATAAAAAGACCAATGCTAGGAACAGTACAGTTTCAGGTTCATCCTCGTTCGACATAGCTCTCTCTCTCAGGAACGAATTAACTAAAATACTCAGTAACTATTTCTGTGATAAGAACTCGATTTTGCCAGTAATTGAGGGAAAACAGATTGGACATTTCGACGGTTCGTTGGAGAAAAACATGACAGATAGTGAACACCATTCGTGAAAAGGTTACGGATGCGCATGATCGAATCAACCAGAATGTGCCAGTTTACTCTAATTCAATGTTTATGCAAATTAACTAACGAGATGGTACGGAACACCCGAGGCGCAAAAGGAACGATCAGATAACAAGGGAAAGATGAATAATGATGATGATACAAGGGTATCAATGCGGATTCTTGTGAACTTTTCAGAAGGACATATCGGCTCAAAGACGTGTCAACTGTGGACGAGACAGTACTCTGTTCTCGTCTGGCAACCGACAGGGCAACGCAATGGAACTCCGCATCTCTAAATTACTTTATATCACGCATTTGCTGTCGAAAGAACAAAGAGTGCAGGAAACATCAGTTGGATCCTACAGCGAGGAATCAATCAATGAACTCTAGCATGCTAATATAAAAAAGTAACCACCTGTTTTGGAACTGCCATTTTGCTCCGTATGAAAAGAGCTGGGAAAAGGTATTTCGAAGAGTAGACGGAGAACTGGTTATAAAAAAACTGCCGACTTTTTGACAAGATGATCAAATGAGGAGACAGAATTGTTGATGCATAGTGTGAAGTGGTTTGAAAATGAAAGTGCATCAGCTCTGTGGTTCGCAGCAGTAGCTACTGCAAACTGACCCACGGACAGCTGTTCTATGCCTTGATGTCATCCTTACTTATGATTTGTATGCATAACACCAGGTCCAATTCAGTTTCAGTTTGTACAACCATTAACCACGCACATTCGTCCACCGGTTTTGGTTGCTGTCTTTTGGCTACCCGTTTGGACGAAGAATAGGAGAAGAAAGGACACCAGGTTCAACTGACCATGCTCAATCTAATCAACCTGTGCCACAGAACAAATAATAGTAACAGTGCCCCTGGTCCGCATGGATTGTAATGAAGTGTGTGTGTGTTTACGTCATTGGGACTAGAAACAGCGACTGGAATTTCAACCTTGACTGGAATAAGCTTACTGCTTGGGGTGGGAGTCGATGGATCGGTCGGTCGGTTATTTGGGTTCGTGGGCGTCCGAGGTTCAGAACCACCACCGCCGCCAGACGAGGACTTGGTGGATTTCTGTTCTAATACAGGTACGTTCGGAGTCAGCTTTGGTTGTATCGGTTGAATCCACACTTGATCCGGCTCAAAAGCGAGTAGCAGGGCAATATTCGGTGACAATGTGCTCTCGGTTGGAGTCTTATCAGTCAGTGGGGACACGGATGAAAGCGAAATGGCATTGACCAGACCCGGATGCCCACCAAACACTTCAGACCACTGCACGATAGGGCCGATTGGAGGAACACGTTGTTTTCGTTGGGTCCGACTCGCGGTCGGAGTTTGTAGGAGGTCCGAAGTGGGCATTTTCTGCGAACTTGGAGGACTGACCGCATTCCGTGCGGCAAACAACAATGAAGTCATCAGTTTGGCTGGCGAAGCCGAATCGTAAGCGCTGCATTGAATGTATGGAACAGAAAGAATTTGAACAAGTGACCGACAAAAATGTACAGCAGGAATGAAGAACAATCAGACTGAGGTAGTGAGCACTTTGCATTGATTGCGAGAAAATAATGTTTGGAACTCTTTTTATTCGTTCATGTGAAACAATCTGAAACGCATATAACCATTATGCTATTGACCTCACGGAACGAACACCAAGAACAAAAAACATGAACCGAGATCATGTCTGTGTGGATAACATTTGCACAAAAAGAACTGGATCGCAGTTTGATTGAAAAAAAAACAACCCATTTAAACAATAATCGAAATCAAATACAGAACAGAAACAATACACTTCTCCAAAGGAAAACAAAACACAACGAACGAAAAAGTGCAGCAGTGACTAGTTACCCTTCATCCAATTATAGTCACACGGGAGTCGGACGTGTTAACAATGAGTCGACAGGCAACACCAATCTCTCTTGTATGGAACTGATAGTCGTGCGTACAATTTCAGGGATTCCGAATGAATTTGAACACATGATCCTCGAGCGATTCAACATATCGGATACACATTGCTGATTGTGATCCGTTCAGAGGAACACAAATAGACCCCAAAAGAGGAACATGTTCATAAAAAACTTGGAACCAGAATTTTTGATGACCTGTGGCTTCAAACCCGCAGTTTTAAATTAAAAAACTAACTCGAAAATGTTCTTACAACTTTTTTATTCATACAACCCATGTTGTTTGGTCTTCCCTGTGAAGGAAAACAATCATCGTTGGTTGGAGATGCGAATTGGTTTGACATTGTTTTCTGCCTTCATGGTGGAGTGAAACGGAAAAACTGAACAGAATCACTGTACCTGAACCTTTCTGGATTACCTAAAGGGGGTGTATTGGGGCACAATAGTGATATTATCTTCCCATCTTCTCCGAAAACAGATTCAAGGCGTTCGGCTGGAGCAAATGCACTTTTTCATAACCGACAACTGTGTTCGAAATATAACGTTTGTCGCTTCTTCGCCAGATACACAAACAAATCAGGAGGGGGGGATTGGGAGTTAAGATCTTGTTGTGCCCTTTAACCTAGTCTCACCGGAGTAAAGTACCAATGAACTAAAGATTGTCTCTAGTGTTTGTGATCTGTTGAATCACCCGGTAGACCGCTCGATCGTGGTATCAGATAGGAAAAATAATTAATCAAAGAAAGGATCATGATTACTTACGAAATCTGTTGCTGTTGCCAGGTTTGTCCAGTTCCACCAGCATTTTTAGATCGTCTTCGTCCAGTTGCCAGGAGGAACGAATGAGTGATCCGGAGGTGCGGCTCGGACGGTGCGGTAATCCCACTGATACCGATAGCACTAGCCACCGAATGACCAGATTGATAGGCATGTAAAAGCAAACCCAAGGAAGGGATATATTGCAAACTCACACCACCACCACTCAAAACACCGGTGGTAGCGTTGCGTTTTAACGGTGCCACTTTAGCATCTTCGTCTGTGGAGTCTTCACCATCTAGTGTGACAGCTTCCGGGCTCCATTCCAACCACTCGGCCAAAAAGAATGGGTATGTTGAGGCCTGACAATCAGGGCCCAGTTCCTTAAGTATGAAAAATAGAACAATTATTTGATCTCGAGTTTGGGATTGAAATACTGAATGGAGCGGAACTGCAGGCTGATTGAAACCAAACACTAGGGGGTGAAAAGTAAAACTCACTTGGTACAAAATCGATCCCATTTTCGCCATGACTAAAAGGTATACACCCCATTCGGGTGGACGTGGATCCTCTTTACCAGATGCAGCGGTAGACTGATCTGAGTCGGTTTTGAACAGATTCGGCGGACGAATAAAAGTGGCATCACAGAAACTGCCTTCGACCGGTTTGAAGAGGTATTTCGGTTTTGTTGGATTTTCAAAAATGTCGAAGATCTGAAAATGATGATGATTTTGCGCACACGGATTAGATGAGTAAAATTACGATGGTAGAAACATTTCATACTTAATGCAAATCTCTAACAAGATAGTCAATGGAGAAGAATTATGCAGACGGCGGTCGTGTATCTGCTCATTTTCTATACCGATTCGGTTATAATTGCTTACTTATCCTAAGTATGAGGGCGTTCCTTCAATTTACTTGTTCCTCACTAATAGATCAATGAGGATACCTAAAAACAGCAACCCAAATCGTCTGGCGAAAACGCAGGATTGGAATTTCTAAGAGCCGAATACGAACCACAGCCCGGAACAAGAAGAAACCTCACTTAAGGGCTGAATTTTCAGTCTTCAGTTTTTACCATGCACTTTCTGATGACAGTTCACGTAATTTGGCTGCCCGGTTAGTGAATCAGTATGGGGACAATGCAACAAAAACAATAGCGGAGGATAGAGGGACTGCAACACGAAATGGAGGTTGAACGGTTACGGTGGATAACAAGAATAACAAGTTAACAATTTTGTTTATTTGTTTTAATATTTTTTGTTTTAGACAGTACAGAGAACATTGGAAAGTACCAAGGCAGAAACATAGAAATCATGGAGAATAAGGCTACAATACCAAAGCTTAAAGGCACTAGCACCACTGTTTATGTCACTCAGTCATATCACCGTCCGTTACACTGGCCGGCGGTTCACTGTGAATAAGGTGGATTTATTCGCACTGAATAAGCGGTTGTGGACGATCAGCGGCAGTGCCGGAGGATGTGGTGGGTTTACCACTTCGCAAGGGTTCTCCACACAAAACACCACATGTATCTTATGACGGCGCAGTGACGTGGTAAGTGTGGACCGCAAATGAATACGGCCATTGCTCCCTTGTCGAATTCCATCAACCTGTCAAGGTCTTCCACAGAAGGCGAATGAACCAACCGACCGGTCACTGGCTTATCTGGAACAATACTGCTGCCTTGTAGCTCGAGCTAGGTTGCGTAAAGGATAGAGTGCATCCTCGAAAAAGGTCCACTATGGACTGGGAGACCGAGCAGTACAACAGCCTACATTGCAAACAGTGAACTTCAGCTTAATCAATAATTCGTCCATTCAGCTTTCCTCGCTCATGAAAAAACGCTTTACACCTTGCACATCTTCCTTTTTCCAGCGTTTCCTCCACCTCACATTCATCCCCCTCAAACATTACCATTATTATCAAGTTTCACCGAATCTTCCTCCACCAGCTGAAGCTCTTCTTCGTCCTCGATGCCCATTCGAACTAGCCACATTTAAGGTGCATACCCTGATGAGTATAGGACAACAACAACAACCCTGGAGACTCTAGCCATCGATGTGTGTTGTATCCAAGAGACTCGCATTCAAGACTCTAGCTCCGCCATCCGATTGACGTCTCCATCAAGCCCATCCGCGAAGTTTCACCTGCGTCTTTCTGGGGACCCTGACGCTGCAACTTCTGGTCTTGCTGGCGTTGGCGTGGCTCTCAGTGAGAGAACTGAAACCGCGCTCCTGGATTGCATCCCAGTCGACAGTAGGTTATGCGCAGTGAGACTCAGAGGCTCGTGCAAAGTAATTAGTCGTCGCACCGAAAGACGCAACTTATTCATCGTCTCAGCGTATGCACCAACGAACTGTAGCCCAGATACTTTCTACCAAAAGCTACACGACCTCTTGCGTAAAGCAAATCGGGCTGATATCGTGATTTTAGCAGGAGATATGAATACTAGAGTAGGCCGACTGATTCCGAGTGATGCGCATCTGGGTGATCCTTTCGGACTAGATTCCTGTCTCTCGGAAAACGGGGAACGGCTGTTGGCTCTATGTTCTGACCATCGCCTATTCCTCACCAGTGCGAACTTCAGACGCTCCAACTGCCGTTACGCCACTTGGCGTCCACCCTTCTCAAGTCAGCGATTAACGCACATAGATCACATCGCTATAAGCTACAAATGGCGGGGTTGCATTCAAGACTGCCGATCATACTGGAGCAAAACCCTCAAATCCGATTACGCGTTAGTTTGCACCAAGCTGTCCATGTGCTTCGGTGGGCGTTCTAAAAGTACGACAGCGGCGGTTAGACTGCGATGAGTTGTCTCAAACAGCATGCTTAGCCATCTTTCCAAACACGCTAGCTGAAAAGCTAGAACCAACCCCACCTGATAACGTCAGCGAACACTGGTCGCTTATCAAGAATACTGCGCATTCTGCTGGTTTAGTTAGTTGTGGTCCGAAACGCCATGTTGTGACACCCTGGATTCCCGCTGAGTCTCTGCACCCTCTTGACGCACGTCGGTCATTTTCGGCCGGCAGCAAGCATAGCGTAACACGGCTTGTAATGAGACGTGAAATTAACGTAAGCCCACGCAGAGATCGCGAGATCTGGTTGTCTCAACGCGCATCAGAGATGGAACGTGCTACTGCCATGGGAAATTCCCATAAGCTGTTCCATCTCAGCCGAGTCACCGGTAAGAAAGCTTTGTGTGTGAGCTAGACGACCTATGAAGCTGACGGCTCGCTTATTCACAATCAACGGCGACGTCTTAAACGCTGGGCGGAGCACTTCAAAATACAATTTAGCTGACCACCCGCGTCAGCTTCTCACACAGCTATTCCGGCATACGTCCCATGGTCTGTCTCAATAGACCCACCTTCTGAGGCGGAAATCCGTAAGGAGATCCAAGCCTTGGGACGTCATAAAGCGCCGGGCTTCGATGACCTTCCCCCTGCTCTATATAAAGATGATGGAATAAAGCTTTTTAGAGAACTACAAGTTCTGTTCTCTAATGTGTGGTACACTGAGCAAGTTCCCTCCTCATGGGGGGGGGGGATCGATTGTTTTTCTCATCTTCAAAAAGGGCCCGCGCAATGACTGCACCAATCATACGGGGATTAGCCTGGTCCCGATAGCCTCAAAGCTGTTCGCGTTCGTCATTCTCCGCCGATTGTACACTACGCGTGAGGAGCAGACCCGCGAGGAGCAGGCTGGGTTTCGTGCCGGTCGTGGGTGCATCGATCAAATCTTCACCCTCCGACAGCTGCTAGAGCACTGTCATGTTTATCAAAGACCAACGATCATTGCATTCTTAGACATCCGCGCGGCCTTCGATACTGTCGATAGGACCGCACTATGGAACTGTTTGTTGAGGAATGGAGTACCCAAGAAGTATGTGTCAATCCTCAAAGAGTTTTATCGTCATACCTCAAGTCGGGTTAGGGCCTATGGCCAGATTTCGCTACCCTTTGCTGTCTCCAGTGGAGTTCGACAAGGTTGCCTCATATCCCCATTCCTTTTCAACTTTGTCATAGAGGAGGTTCTATAGAATGCATTGTTCGGTATAGCAAACGATGGAGTATAACTCCCAGCAGGAAACAGAGTCCTCGACTTAGAATATGCCGATGACATCGACTTGCTTAGTGACAACACACAGGCAGTCCAAAACGCTTTGAACCGCTTGGCGATAGAGGTATCCAGGTCTGGTATGTGCTGTGCACCTTCCAAGTGCAGTGCTGGTACTAGACTGGCAGGAGCCCGTGCCTGCACTCACCATCTGTGGTGATCAGCTAGAAGTGGTCGAGAGCTTTAAGTATCTCGGAAACTTGATCATAGCTGGTGGTGGTGTTG